AGGGACGACCATCTGGCGCTCGATGTTCAGACCATTCAGCAGCCCGACCTATAACAGCTGGATCGATGACGCCTGGTTTAATGATCAGATTTTTTGCCGGTTTTTCCTGAACAGGAATTGAATGCATATGTTGGTTCCACGGCATGCCCCACGGAGCATTTGCTGCTTGCGTGGCTCCTGGAAACCCACCACCATAACCCGGAGGTGGCATGCCGAAAGGTGGTGCAAAATTTGGAGGATGCATATTAGGTGGGAAAAAGGGAGGCGGTTGATGCATCGTAGGTGGTGGCTGTTGTGTAGCAGCCCCTGTAGGTACGCCTACAGTAGGCGGAGGTTGGGATAAACTTTGTTGATTGGGTGGAGGCTGAGACATCATGCTAGGCGGTGGCTGCGAAGTTAAACTTTCCGTTGTCGCCTTTGCAACTTGCAATGTATCTGATTTGTCTTTAGTTGGATCATCATTAGTCCCGCTGTTAGTTTGAGCAGATGTCATATTGACTTGATTCTGCTGTTGTTGCTGCTGTTGTAGTTGCTGTTGTTTTTTGTTAATTTCCTCAACTTCAGTTTGGGTCATCACCTTTACATTTGCACCTTCCGGTTTATTCCAAGTGGTTTCACGTGTCAAAGCATGATAATAGTAGGCTTTGCCATCTTTAGTTTTCGTTTCCACCCAAAGCTCCAACTGTGCCGAATTACTGTTAGTTACTGAGGCATTCGCGTTACTATTTTGCCAGTTTTGGTCAAATTGCCGTCCACCGAAATTGCTCCCAGCACCAGTTCTACCACCTCCACGATTGAAGGCACCTCCAGTTCGTCCACGAAACGCTGGCGGGGCATTAAGTATTTTCACATGACCTTGAGAATGATTCCTCCAAGAGTATTTACTTTTATTTTATTCCAAAAACGTTTTCGTTACATTTTCTTACCAAGCGTCATCTTTCTCATTAACCTCCTCATTCTCATTATGTGTGTGGTCATTCCCATTTACACCACCCGTAACTTTTTCTACGTCTGCTTGTTGAGTTGCATTTAAATCTGTTTGCAGCGAACTTGACTCGCCATCTGTGGCTGTCGCCATTGAGCTCATTTTTTAACAAAAACTTCTCAAATTTTTAATAAGAAATTAAAAGAACTTTTTCACGCTATTTGGAAAAATTATAATTCTTTTTGCCAAGCAAAAGTGTGATGCTGTCAATACGGTTACATTGTGCAGCGTTGCCAGCTCCTTCTAAGTATAATAGATAGTAGAAAACTTAAAGTTTGGCAGCCCTACTTTATTATGCTGACAAATAAAATCGGGGAATTAACTTCATTTTGCTGTTTTGCCGTTGATTTTTTTTATTTTTTAACAATTGTGTGCATTAATTTGTCTATTTCGTTTAATCTGTATCGATTACTGTCTTAAAAATGGGTGAAGTAAAAGTACAAAATTATGTGAGTGTGAATTTTTGACTTTATATTTATATTTAATGGCAAACATTTTATTTCCCTTTGTTCAACTATAACCGCTAGTTGAATCCCATTACTTTAGAAGCCGACTTGTTTGTGAAAACGTTTGAGAAATTGAGTGTAAACTTCAAGTATATAGATAAGAACGTTATCCATGCTTTAAATAAAGTCGTGACTTCGATTGAGAAATTCTTGGAACAAAACAATCAAGAGATTGTAGACACAAAAAAATCTAGACTAGTGGAGCGCGCAGAAATGGCTGGAATTGAGCAAATCTATCGTTGTTCCAAATGCAAAACGGATTTGGGCAAGTCTATTGAACGAGCAGCTGAACATGTTGCAAGCAAATGTAAAAACAAAGGCGCGCCAAAATCATTGAAAAAAAAAAAAAAAGAACGTCCAATCGCTCTTTCAAAAAGTATTAGGAACATTTTTACATAGAATTTTATTATATCTAATCTTGCTTTTAGAAACAAAAAGTTTACTAACTGCGGACCTGAACAAATTTTTTACGGACCATTTACTAATAGCCGATAAATTAAAATCAATACCCGAATATGATGTTATTGAAACTCAATTATTGAGCCTGGTGAAACCATTATTTCCCAATGAGCCATTGCGGGTATATCGTTTCGGTTCAAGGTTGACAGGTATAGGAGAACGAGATTCTGATGTAGATATTTTTCTTGATATCGGTGATACATTTAAAATTTTTGAGAATCGAGCTTCACAGGGCACAATCGAAAAGCTTAAGAAAGTATTTAAAGCCATGAAAAATGTTCCAAAAATATGGAAAATTGTGGTAAAGGTAGACAAAGCACGTGTGCCTATAATAAAAGCCTACAACGATTCTACAGGTATCGAATGTGATATTGGTTTTACGAACAGCTTGGGGGTTTTAAATACTAAACTAATAGAGCATATCTTTGAGATACAACCAATTGGTGAGTAGGATTTAGTTTAGTTAAATTTTGGATTTATCAAATACTTCTTCTTAAAAATCTTCCAGCACGACATATGTGCCTTTTTTTGAAATGGTGGTTACGTCGAACTGGTTTAAATGAGGGTTATTCCACTTACAGTATCGTGTTAATGGTAATTTATTTTCTACAAATGAGAGAAGTTGTGCCCTCTGTTGAATTTCTTCAGAAACGTATTGATTTCAACAAAGCTATCTCCATCGGTCGTAAGTAAAGTTAAAAGTGTGGACGAATTTTTTTATGTTCGCGATTACATTTCTTAACAGCTTGGTTGGGAACGTTCGTTTCTTGCACTCTAAATGAAATAAAAATGGAGGAGGTGCCTACAACAGCAACGAACGTTCAAATGCATTTAAAACTTTTCTTTGAATTTTACCTACAATTTGATTTTAAAACCAACGTGGTCTGTCCATATCTAGGGAAATTAGTAAAAATCGTTGAGTTGGAGAAGCAAATGCCAACATGGTAGGAAAGAACCATTAAATCCTATGATCGCAATTAAATAACAAATTTTATAACGACAGGTATACGTACTACGTGGAATGTTCTCCCGCAGATCGTATGATTGAGTTAAAGAAAGCAATGATTGTTCAGGATCCTATACAACTAAATCATAACGTTACCAAAGGTGTAGAAAAATCTCGCTTCCGTGATCTAATTGAATATATGCGTTTATCTACTCAAATCATCCCAACTACCAAGAAAAAAGAATAATGTTTTTTTTTTCTGATTTTAAAGATAATTTTTTTACTATGTATGTTGTTACGTTCATTTGAAAAATTTTAAAATTTTGTTCTGCCTTTGATGAAAGTGTGTACGAATAAAAAAAAGTTTCATTTTATAAAAAACAAAAAACATAGACTATCTAAGTAGACGGAAGATTTTTTAACGCTTTTATTGAGTTAATATAACAAGTATATAATGGTACAAATAGTAATCATCAAGTAAGGCAAGACTTTGAATTAAGCTTGGAGATGAGTTATGCAAACTTTGCTTTCCGAAAAGTCCCGAAGGAAAAGTTAAGCATTCTTAACTATTCTTAACCACGGTTAACCATCTCAAAATTAAGCAAAATGTGTGTGTAATTAAGCTACTGAGAGAAATTATTCCCACCGAAAAGCCTTAGTGCAATCTCTCTGCCACGCTTATGTGACAAAAATGAAAAGAATTCGTATCTAAACAGATTTGACAATATACGTTACGACTGAAGAGAAATTGTTAATAGGAAAAGCAAAGAAAACACAAAAAACTCTTATAGCAATTAAAAGAAACTAACATTTGACTACTTGGGGAAAGATAGTGGGATCTCACAGAGCTCAGCGAGCTGAGAATAAATTCCATTGCTAGACATGACCTTCCATAGACTGAACCATGCTTAAGTTTCCTTTCATTGACTCTCGTGAGTAGGAATTTTAGGAACACACCAATGTGATGTACATTCTGCCAATATTAAAGTTAAAAAAATATATATTAAAATACAATATAACTATTTTAACTAATGTTTAAAAACATTCCTCTGAGCTTTTAATCGGTTTTCCTTATGGTGTTTGTTCACTTTAATATTAACATTGGGTTTGGGCTTTTAAGTTTAATTTAAGCCAGTGTAATCCAGTGTGTTTTAAATAAATCCGCTAACGAAACAATGTAAGTAGGTTTAACCTTTCCGTTTTGTTCAAGTGCCCTGTGAAACTTTATCCATATTCCTACCAATCATAACTACCACAATCTCTCTCTGAATAGAGAGTTTGTAATGATATTGACCATGAGAAGAATCCATTCATTCCCCCCAGCATAGTGCAGTGACAGATTGATTGGTTTTTTGCTTTATCCAGTACATTAGTTGATAAGTTTCCAATATTAACTTGTAATAAAAAAAATTATAATAATAATAATCTTATTTCCAGGTAACTAAATATCTCAATATCTCAATATCTGTGCTTATTGCCTCTGTGTGTTTGTTGTTAAGTAAAATGTAAAAAATTTTAAATCGTAGCTACTCTGGCTAATAGAAATAGGACTGATAAACAAATTCAGGGGATTAACCCAATAAGCAAATTGCCATTTTTCATTTTTGTATAGCGTCATTGCGTTGCATACTTTTCTGTTTAACACTTGTACTCAGTTATGATTACGTTTGCCTTTAATTATTTATCGAATTTGC